GGATCAAATTCAGAACCTGTGCGTATTCCTGGACCCAGCTCTCTCCTGGGATTTCCAGATTGCAGCCATGTCCAGGTCGGCCTTCAACCAACTGTGACAGATCACTCAGCATCACCCTTAGCCCTTGAGAGGGGCTGGACTCAATGACCAATAAGGTCCCTTCCAGCCTCTTCATTCCAAAGTTAAAACCCATGTCTTCTGATTAGTAAAAAGTGTTCTGAAAAAAATTCACCTCCCCCTCTCTCCCATTCTTTTTTCCTTGTTGTTGTTGTTGTTGTTGGTGGTGGTGCATGAGGTTTCCTTTCTGCGATGCGGGAATGGAATGATGGATGTACCAGGGCTTGATTTCCCCTTGAGAGGGGCTGGACTCAGTGACCAATAAGGTCCCTTCCAGCCTCTTCATTCCAAAGTTAAAACCCATGTCTTCTGATTAGTAAAAAGTGTTCTGAAAAAAATTCACCTCCCCCTCTCTCCCATTCTTTTTTCCTTGTTGTTGTTGTTGTTGGTGGTGTATGAGTTTTCCTTTCTGCGGTGCAGGAATGGAATGACGGATGTACCAGGGCTTGATTTCTAGGGGAATGGTGGTGCATGAGGTTTCCTTTCTGCGATGCGGGAATGGAATGATGGATGTACCAGGGCTTGATTTCTAGGGGAAACTCCAGGGCACAACATTGCAAAACTATCTGAAGAACCTGCCATCTGCTCTGGAAACTCTTCTGCTTAATTTGGTTTAATCTACACATATAACTGCTTGGAGAATGGGCCTTCTCCTCCAAATATACTTAGAGATGAGGTTTCCTTTCTGCGATGCGGGAATGGAATGATGGATGTACCAGGGCTTGATTTCTAGGGGAAACTCCAGGGCACAACATTGCAAAACTATCTGAAGAACCTGCCATCTGCTCTGGAAACTCTTCTGCTTAATTTGGTTTAATCTACACATATAACTGCTTGGAGAATGGGCCTTCTCCTCCAAATATACTTAGAGCAGGGTGGGCAACTATGACCTTTTGGTATACAACTTCCATCAGCATAACTAAAAGTGTATTACAGCACGTGCAAAAATTTCTGAAGGGCCCCAGGTGTACACTCTTGGCTTAGAGCAGGCTTGTCCAACCTGCGGCCCGTGGGCCGCATGCAGCCCAGGTTGGCTCGTAATGCGGCCCAGTGCAATTTTTTATTTTTAAAAAAATTCCAAAGTTTAAAATTACACTGCCGGCGTTAGCGGCTGGAATGTGGCCGGGGCACATCACAATGGTGTGGGGGGGAGAGGAAGGAAGGAAGGAGTGGCAGGGGAGGGGAGAGAGGGCTGTGTGACTGGATTGTGCCGTCCCTGTCAATAGGTGGACCCCCTCCCGGCCCCATAAAGCCACCAGAGTCAAAGCTGACAGCCTCTGCTGTCTGAGATCGCAGCTTGGAGTGGGGCTATGGAGAATGGCTAGGGCTGGCCCCCCCATGCAGCCCAAACCAAATTTATGTGCAGCCCAAACCAAATTTTCATCTTCTAATGTGGCCCAGGGAAGGTGAAAGGTTGAACACCCCTGGCTTAGAGGGTCCTCTTTAGACAGCCCTTTGCTCAGCTGTGTTTTGCATTTCCTGCAAGGAAGGTGGAACCACTGGTCTCCACTCTTGAAACACAAATCCATCCCGCCTTCTGAGTTGATCTATGGTTAGGAATCATGGTTCTATTTTTGACACTAGATCTGGTTGCTCTTGTATCATTGTTGCAGAATTACTTCCTTGACAGTCTGTGGCACTACATCTTTCTCCACAGTTCCTTTAATTCCACAGATCTTGGTTGCTGAAATTTGAAGATAGTGCAATCCATCAATGGATTCAGTATTCGGGTCTCCTCCTGATGTGCAGCTGCTGGGTCTGTAGGCTCAGTTAAGACTATCAGCTAAGACTACTTACTAACCTGGAGAGTGTTCAATCTCTCCAGCTTACTGCTGTAAATGCATTAGACTCTCTGGAGCATTCAGAAGAGATTTGTAATTACTACCTCAAATATGTTATGGCTTAATTGCATTTTGACTATTGGTGTGTTGATAGAATTATTCAGTCCCAAACTAACAGCAAAGGCACAGATGGTTTATGAAATTGTGCTATTTGCTATGAAGCCCATCCCCACATCAGGTTGCATAATATTTAAGGGGAGATGAGTTATTTTTGCATTCACGAAAAAACACGATAGCGACCAACCAGTAGATGCACTGCCCTTTTCATGGCACTTAGGCTCTCTCGCCTGAAGCAGCTCCTCGCTCTGGTGCGAGTAGTTTTGCTCTTCAAGCTCTTTCCTCTTCTGAGCATTTAAAAAGATGTCTCTCTAGGCCTCTCCTTATGTAATCAACTGGTTCATCTTCCTATATTACTTACGTACATCTATACCCCACCTTTCCACTAAAAGCTAGCACTTAAGGTGGCTTACAAACTTAAAACAAAAAACACAGATAAGATCCCTTTCAGGTAAAAAGAAAATTATATAAGCCAGCCCTATTATAAAAGCCATTAGAATTAAGCAAATACATTGAAAAACCATAAAATCTGCAACATGTACAGATTAAAAACACAGCAGGGTGGCTTAGATACCATATGCCGGTCTTTAAAAAATGTGTTTTTACTCCCTTCTTAAAGTCAATTAGAGTGGAAAGAGCTCACAGCCTGGAGGGGGGTGCGATCTATTGCCTAGGAGCCACACAGGAGAAAGCCCTCTCCTGCCTGTTTTTAAGGCAGTCTTCTAAAACGGTTGTTGTTTCTAGGCTGCTGTCATCATCCAGAAATGGTGGCGCGGCGTGCTGGTCCGACGCAGCCTGCTCCAAGCTACCCTTTGTGCCTTGGTGATCCAGAGGTGGTGGCGCCACACTTTCAACAAAGCCCAGGAGGAAAGAAGAATCAGGGCGCTGGTTATGTATATTTGGCCTGAGAAGTCGACCGTCCTCTTGCAGTCCATGTTCAGGATGTGGCTTATGAAAACCCGGTACAAGAAGTACCAGAAGGCAGCCCAGGTCATCCAAAACAACTGGCGGCACTACAGCTTCAGGAGAGAGTCCAATGTCTGTTCTCTTGACAACCTGGCACATGATGGCATAGACCTGAATATTGAGATTGTCGTTGGGTAAGAAAGGGGGTGGGGGTGGAGAGAGAGAAAGACTCCATGGAAGAAGCAGAGAAGACTTCTCAGGGCCAGGCATTGATGGGTGAAATAAATGTTTTATAACTCCACTGGGAGATTGCTGTTGGCTCCTTTGCTCTGAAGGAACACCAGAGTGACATCCAATCGTCTGAACTATTTACTTTCATGGATGGCAGCCCTCTGGAGTCTCAGCCAGGCAGGGGTCTTTTACATCACCTGGTCCTTTTAACCGGAGAAGCCAAGGACCAAGCCTGGGATCTTTTACATGAATACATTTGGTTTGCCACTAAGACCTGAGTTATGATCCCGCTCTAGGATTGTAACAGAAGTCTTGCTGTGGGAGCCAAATGTGGAACTGATCTCTTGATCTGTTCTGACCCTAAACTATCAATCTTACCTTGTATTGCAATTTGAAGGGAAGAGCTGCTGCAGTAGTTTAGGGGCCACTTCATCAATTGAATTTGCAGTGGGCAACGTATGATACTTTGGGCCCCAGCACACCCAAATAGTTTTTTTTTCAAATTACACTTCTCTCTTCAACAATGCTGGGGTTAGGGGTGCCGGATCTCCAAAATTCGTGTATAGGTCTTATGTCTCCCCAAAATGCAACTACAATGCATAAACAGTTGATTAGAAAACACACACACACACATGCAGAACAGTTTTCTCAATTGGGGTTCTCTTCCATAGCATTGACAATCCTGTGTGTAATGAGCCTTAAAAGCCCCTATGACCCCTTGATCTGGAGACTGTATTAAAGATATTGTGTTTAGGTGCAAGTAGACCACTTTGATACCTTCAGCGTTAAACTCATGGGGTTCTGGGTGGTCGAGGGCACAGCATTCATTCATTCATTCATTCATTGGGTGAAAAAAAAAATCTCTGTACTGTATAGCCAATGCTGTGGTATTCAGACATACAATTCAAGGGGACAGTGTACAAATTATAATGTTTTGCTCGGAAAGTCACTTTGGGGGTATGTTTTTTCCATGTTCTTTGCACCCTTGACTCCCCCTCTGCCCAAAATTTAAAAAATTAGCTGTCCTTAAAAAAAAAAAAATAAAGCTTTTTCACTACCCTTCTTCACATTTGTGTAAGAACAATTTTTGGTGAGGGGGGGTCACAAGAGATGATCCACCACTCCAAGTTGCCAAGACAGGTGCACATGGTCCCCAGACTCCTGAAGATCATTCACCCCTGGTTTAATGATCTGATATGAGTCAATCTTTTTCTTCTTTTCAAAAAAGCCTTTTTCCAGCCACTCTTAGGGAAACTGAAAGAGAAGCATGGAAGGTGTTAATCCACTGCCTGCTTTAAACCTACAGTGCCTCAGCTGGACCAAATCTGGAGCTTTTCTGTGTCAACCCCAGGGGACGTGTGGGAGAGAATCAGAGACAGAAAACACTCTGGTTTCCTCCTGCCTGGAAGGGACTCAAAGCACAGGGGACAGCAGCCACTGAGAAGAGCCCAGATTTATTAATAAATGGCTTTGTGTTACCGGCAGCCCCAGTGCAGAGCATGACAGAGATGGACCAACCGCCACTGTAGCCAATTTATCTGCTTATCTTTTTAATAAGCTACCTAATTATCTTGCCGTCTATCCCCCCTCACTTTGTATAAATCTTTGCCCTGCTTTTGTTATTTACCCAACTTTGGGTTTGTCAGTTTAGCTAATGACTTCTTTCTTAAGATGGCTGAATTTTACTTTGGCATTTATCCTTCTGCATTTGGCATCCTTCGTACCTTGTCTGCCCCACAGTACCATCCAAGAAGACAGACACAGGGAGGGAACATCAGCTCCATTCTTCTCTGCTCTGTGTCTTCTTTCTCTTTCTTCCCTTCTTCTTCTTCTTCTGTCTCCCTTCTTTTTCTAGATCCTGCTTTCTTTTCTTATTATATCCCATTGTTTTAATCCTTTGCCCTTTACACTCCTATGACCTTACATTATTCTTTCCCCACTGTTTCTCTAAAGCCTCCTTCTTTGGATGGCTTCAGATGGTGAGCTTCTAAAACTAATACTGTATGTAGTCGTTCGAAGGAGACAGAAGTCCTCATAAAGAGAATATTGAACCATGCCCAAGTCTGAAGGGCTTCCAGAGGGAGGGCCTCCAGCCAGGGGTTCCATATGAGTGGGTTGGGGAGGGGAAGATGATACACCACCATGATCTTGGCCCCAAAATCTAGACGATCCAGCTCATACTGAAGGCTCCACTACTGTGAGGGGTGAAATGAGAATGGACTATATAGCTCATGCCTGATAGTTATGGGATGATGGACTTATCATGATGGGTGATGTGCATTATGAAGTTGTACTGCCCTCTCAAATAATGCTCAGGCGCTGATCCTATTGCTTTTGAGTTGTGATAAAGTACATGCAACAGTACTATGCAGAATGAAGATTGAAGATTTATGGGAGGCGGCCTCTCTGTTCTAGAGGCAGCAAAAGAACAAGAAGTTTGTTGTTCTTACTTTTAAGATGGCTGGTTAAAGTTACAAACTCTAGACCTCAGTTGTGTTTCCGTGTAAAAGAATCAGCTAGGGTTCTTCCTAAGAGGGAATAGCCAAAATCCTATTACTAATTTATGCTTATGTAAGGAAATTGCATAAGTTGTGGTGGCAAATTGCCCCCATTAAGAGCTACTGGATGTGTTCCTGAGAGTGTGATTGTAGTATTGGGTGCTTGCCCAGGAACTCAGCAAGCACCTCATTAATGAATTTGCTACCAAGACATATGCAGTTTCTTTTACATAGGAATATGATTCTGGCCTGTGGAGGATTCTTAAGGGATGCCAGAGAGCACCACTGAATCTAGTAGAACACAAGCATTACAACAAAGTAAAAAAATAAAAATCATACAGCAGTTTGCCTTATTGGATTTTCTAAGGAAACAATATAGAAAAGGCAGGGAAACAGAAGAGGATTACAAATTGAAAACAACAATATTTGGACTGCAGGACTAATCCATGCATAAAACAGGGTAGTTTCTTGATTTTTCCTCCCCTAAGGAGGGGGAATCCTCATTTGGAGGCATCCAAGTTTAGGCCAACTTCTACTATAGCCACTTTTGAGCAGAAGAAAGTGAGTCATCAAGTCACATGTGATCCTTGAAAAACAGTGGTGGGAAGAGTATAACTTTGAAGGACAAAGGTGCTGCTCATAACTCATAGAGCTCATGAACTGAAACACCCAACCCACCTATAGAGACCAACAAAATGATGACAACAGCTAGTGCAATATTATTCTGCCTGTTTTGGTGCACAGGGCAGTCGCATATGATGGAAAGATGGTGCACAACCACCCCCAAAAGCATGTGAGGAATTATTCCTGGGCTTCACCTATTGTCTCTTCAGAATTGGAAACCTGCAAGTGTTTATGTCTTGCTTGTTAGATTCCAACCCCCCAAGGCTGACTGTATCCTCTACCTTTGAGTGGCATGAGACTAGCAAAAGAGCAAGGAGGAGGAATCTGTCCTGGCATATCTGTAGGGAAACTCCTGAAATGAAGTAACAGATGGCAATGGTCTCAGGTGTCTTCAGAGGGATCCTGTGGTCTTCCAGCCCCACAGGAATTGGGGTCAAATCTGAGACTGAGACAAACAAAGCATGAGGCTGTAGCTGGGGGATGTGAAACCTCTATGAGAGAGGGGGCTAAAAGAGGAAGGGAAAGAATTATTCTGCATCAGAACTGCTGAAGCCGCCCCTCCTCAAACAGCAATTATCCTGAAAAAGGGAGTCCATTGTGGAAGTCCATCAGTCCCCACAGAGGACAGCAGCAGTTCCTCTCTCCGTCATCATCTATATTGGAGAAAGTGAGCTAGAAATCTAATTGCAAAGTCCTGGCAACTGCACTTTGCATAGGAGATAGTTAGCAACAGTCAAGCTTCTCTTTCTTTCACTGTACGATGAGTTCTCTGTACATGATAATGATATATTAATTTGCATTAATTATAGCATTAATACATCCTTAGGGCTTCTCAGAAGCAGCAGCTAATTACTTTGTCATCAGAATGTTCTGGGATATGGTCCCTGTGCTAACAAGCCTAGAATCAGGCAAAGCTTTTGTTGAGAGGGATGAATCTGGAAACAGGTGGTGGCCACTGCGGGCTTTTAAAAGGCAACTCTGTGCCATATACAGGTATGTGAGTCAGCCGGTGATTATAGTTTTCACTTCACCTCAGGTAGCATCAACAAAACAAAGTCAAGCCATTTGGAAACAATACCCACCGATCCAGCGTACACAAAGCCTTACTCACATTTAGATTTGAATGTCTCTGTTCCAAATATATCCATAACCTTGTATTACTTTCCCTAATGACTACCTGGTGTATTACTCCAAATACACTCTACATATATTCTGTCTGTTTTTTATGTTACTGAGGTGTTTACATAACTAATACTGTCACACATGTGACCCTCACCCATCCTATCCCAAGAATATACTCAAGCTACTTCCACTCTCTTGTTTTGACCATGTTCCCCTTCTGCCATGGCTTTGGAATCTGTAGGGCTCAGATTCCCGTGTTAAATTTATATAGGCCTAGAGATGAGATAAGTGTTCCAAAGGTTTTTGGAAGGAACGAATCTTTCTCCCCCATCATTACATCGTTGCTTGCTCTTTGAGCTTTCCCATATCCACAGGCTTCACAAACTGCCTAACAATCTTCCAAGCCCTTTATCCAATGGACAAGTACCTACACCCCTGTTTTCCTTATGCAGGGTGCAGCTAGACAGCCAAATTGGAGCAAGCTGGTGGGCTAAATAGGGTCACTTTATGGTTGCATAGAGGTGTGGTACATTTTTTGGTTCTGTTCTTGCATTTAAATCAGGTGTTTTTTGGTCAGGAAGCCACAGTGCATCTCAAGTGAAATTATTTTACCCTTTCTCCCTTTGAAGGGGGGGAGGGGAAGGGGGACAAAAATTCCTCTTCCTTATCCTTTCTTGTCTTCTCCTCCTAACAAGAGGAAACTTTCAATTTTCTTTTATATATATATAAGGCCCCATGCATCACACATGGTGGATTACAAAGCTTTAAAAATACCACACCCCTTGCTCCCTGTCTCTCCCTGTCCACAGAGGTATGGGAGGAAGCTTTCAAATTCCCAGTATCATCAAGCGGCTTAAGCTGTCTGTTTTGATTCAGCCCCCACAATTGCACATGCTGGCACCAAACCCAAATGGAGTGATCCTGCCCTCACTCAAAAAACAAAACAAAACAAAAACAAACTGGTAGCTCTTGAGAAGGACCCAAAAAGGTGAGGTAGGTATGCATCAGGCAGGTTGATTTACAATGACACACATGTTATGTAATTGTTCAGAAAAGGAGTGTTGGTCACACTCTTGTGTTTTTTTTAACCCCATTATCCTTTCTACGGTGCCCCAAATATAAGGTTCATTGTTTCCAACCACCATGCTTTGCTTCCCCACCAACTCTCTTTTTTCACCCACGGTACCTGGATGGAGACATCACTGTAGGAGCCGCCAATGACCCCTGTAATAGCTGTAGGTACATCATCATGAATGGCATAAGATCCATCAGGGCAGATGTGCTCAGAACCATCCACTCTAGTGAGGGAGGCACGGACAAAGTCTAAAGACTGTTCTAAGGCATAGGTGTCCTTGGAACAGGTGTCTAGAATATGTGCCCCAAGCTTGATGCCCGGCAGAATACGTTGGTCCTTGTTGATCTCATCTAGGGCAAACAGCATTGCCTCAAGGCGTTGGATACCACGATGTTCGTTGATCTTGCCACAATCCTCTGCAGGTCCACCTTTCTCATGAACTGGGAACAGGCCTCCAATAACCAAGTCACCTTCCAAGCTGATCTCCTTCTTGGGTGCCACATTGTAGCTGGGATGGTGAATACTGGCATGGCATACCATAGGATAGACCAGCAGAATCCATAGGGTGGCAGAGAAGGCCATTGTAGTACCTTCTCTGAACCACCAGGCCACCCTAATCAAAGCAAAGATCTTAGGTGGCCTATCATTTGCTGACAGCTGCAGAACCAGACGTGAGCAGTCGAAGATGTTACTGGGGGAGAGATCAGACCAACCCAAAAGGTGGATTCAATGCCCTCCTTGAAGACGCTTCAGCCTCCCATGACTACAATGGAAGCAACCATTGGCAGGAGGAACTGTGCTTTTACCAGCCACTTTGGAGCAAGAAAGAACACCTGCAGGGGGAGAGAGACAGAGAGAAAGATTGAGGAGGTGATTAGTTATGATAATGCAAAAACTTCAGAGGAGAAATTCTTTTTGTTTTCATTCTCTGGTTTCTGATGAGAAAAGGGACCACAACAAATGCCATCTCTTCTATTGGAGAATTGCTGAATTAGTAGTTCCACAATATTTACTCAGACATCTAAAAAATAATGGTATATGCTGAAAATATGTTGTGACCATTGTTTCTAAAGTACATAGGATAGCCTATGGATACACAGAGATCCATAAGCTGTCCTACACAGTTCAGAAAAGTTGGCCCTTTTCGTCATTTAGCAACTTGGCTGTAATATCTTGCTCTTTTTTTTCCTGCTTGCCACACATTGGGTACTTTTAGAAAAATGCCAGATGTCCTTTTTCTTTTTAATCTTTGTTTACAATTTCTCAAAATCTACAAAGCCAAAGAAGAAAGGGAGATATTTACAACTGTCTTAGTCACAGCGCTCACTCCCCCAGAAAAGAAGGATGTGGGTTTTATTTTATTTTTTTGTTAAAAATACACTTGCACTACATTTAAAAACCTTCTTCACGATTCCATTCTCCAAGATTTCATCTGTAAATCACCATCTTTTCCCTCCATGTCATTTCCTATCAGTGCCCACTATTTCGTAGAGATGACATTCATGCTAAAATGATAACTCTTGCTCAAAAATGTAACCCTGGGATAGAACATAATAAGCATACCAGAGTTATATAGTTTACGCCGTCATAGAACTCTAAAAAGGAAAAGCACAAAAAAAAAATCCCTCTATTTTCACAACTTTTATCTAACCCTCCAAAACTGGTGCCACTGCATGGAAGGAAGCAAAATCCTCAAAGAATCCCATTGAGCACATCACACAATGAATATGCTCTCTAAAGTCCCTAGCTATGGAAGTTGGGATTGAAAGCATCTGGCTCCTCATCCCTATTCTTCCCTCTCCCCAGTCCAATCACCTGCTCCCACCTAAGCCAGAGACCTAAATCACTGAGCTATCTGGAGTCCTGCTAACCCCAGTGAGAGAAAAGGTTGGATGACAGAGTCATGAAAGGGATGGACACAGAAGTGATTGCTTCATTTCCTGCTACATCTAGAAGCAAAAATAAAGGTATCCGTTAGGTACAGTTGTGGCCAAAAATATTGGCACCCTTGCAATTCTGTCAGAAAATGCAACCCTTCTCTCAGAAAATTGTTGCGATTGCAAATGTTTTGGTACTCACATGTTCATTTCTTTAGTATGTGTTGGAACAACACGCACACACACACACACACACACACACACACAGAGAGAGAGAGAGAGAGAGAGAGAGAGAGAGAAGTCAAATCTGAAACAATCCCACACAGAAACCCAAAAATGCACTGGCCAAAATTATCAGCACCCTTAACTTCATATTTGGTAGCACCCCCTTTGGAAAAAATACAGTAACTGAAATCAATTGCTTCCTGTAACCATGAATGAGTGTCGTACACCTCTCTACTGGAATTTTGGACCACTCTTCTTTTGCAAACTGCTCCAGGGCCTTCAGATTTGAAGGATGCCTTCTCCCAACTGGGTTTGGAGATCTCTTCACAGGTGTTCTATGGGATTTAAATCTGGACTCATTGCTGGCCATTTCAGATCTCTCCAGTGCTTTGTTTGTAACCATTTCTGAGTGTTTCAAGTCATTGTCCTGCTGGAAGACCCATGACCTCTGGTGGAGAGGCAGGTTTTTGACACTGGCCACTACGTTGCACCCCACAATTCTTTGGTAATCATCAGATTTCATGATACTGTTCACACAGTCAAAGCATCCAGTGCAAAAAGCAGCAAAACAACCCCAAAACTTCTTTGAACCTCCACCAAGTTTGTCTGCAGGGACTGTGTTTTTTTTTTTTAAATGCCTCATTTCTTTTTCTGTAAACAGTGCCATGATGTCCTTTACCAAAAAGCTCTGCTTTTGTCTCATCTGTCCACAGTATGTCCTCCCAGAAGGATTGTGGTTTTGTCACATATGTTTTGGCATACTCCAGTCTTGCTTTTTTTATGCCTTTGTGTCAGCAGTGGTGTCCTCCTGGGTCTCCTACCATAGTATTCCTTTTCATTCAGATGGCTAGGGATAGTGTGAGCTGACACTGTTGTACCCTGTGTCTGCAGATCAGCTTGAATTTGTTTGGAAGTTAATCTGGGTTCTGTATCCACCATACGAACAACCCTTCATTGTAATTTTTCAGTCATTTTGCTCTTCTGTCCACACCCAAGGAGATTAACTCCAGTGCCATGGGCTGTAAACCTCATGATGATATTGCACACAGTGGACACAGGATCTCTCTGGAGATGGATTTATAGCCTTGAGATTCTCAGTGTTTTTCCACAATTTTTTCTCCCAAATCCACAGACAACTCTTTACACTTTATTCTTTTCTCCCTGCTCAGTGTCAAACACAAGACAAAGGTTGAGTCCATTTCTCTCCATCTTAACTGGTTGCAAGTGTGATTATTATATTGCCCACACCTCTTACTTGTGATAGGTGTGTCTAAATACAAATTAAGGAGCATCACATGCTTGAAAAGCAATTATTTCTTACAATTTAGACAGGGTGCCAATAATTTTGGCCAGTGCACTTTTAGGTTTCTGTGTGGGATTGTATCAGGTTTGACTTTTCTTCTCAGTTTTTTGTGTTGTTCCAACACAAACCAAAGAAATGAACATGTGAGTACCAAATCATTTGCAACTGCAACCATTTTCTGCTTCTGACAGAATTTCAAGGGTGCCAATATTTTTGGCCATGACTGTATATCTAGTGTAATAACAAAGTTACTCCATAGTCTTTTATTCCTTGCTTTCTCTCAGAATCTTCCCGCAGTTGAACTCTTTAAAAAAAAAAACCCATCATTTTCAAGTCTTCTGGGGAAACAAACACTTTACACCAAGGGTGTGCAACCTGGGGGTCACATGTAGGCCATGGTACTTCCACCACAAGCATGCAAAACTGACTGGACTCTACTCCACTCTGGCTAGATGACAAGAGAGATAATTTTTAAAAATAACCCTCTTCCTTCCCACAACAATCCCATTTCCAAGGTTGCTCTTTTTCTGCCACGAGATCATTAAAACTTCCCCTCACACCCCTACCAGGTGCTGCCATTGCTCAGGGGACACAGGAATATGGTCACAGTCCTCACACTCATTAGGGAGGCCCCATCCATGTCCCCCAGTGGTCCTAATACAAATATTACAAAACCCTGCTTTTCATACGCAACTGTTTGTGTGCAGACAAGATGCTTGTGTGTCCCAAGCCAATATCACATGTGGCCTTCAGGGTCAAAAGGTTGTAAACCCACATGGCCCTGTTTTCTGGAATAAATACTACTGCATCTGCAGCCAGCTGAATAATATTGTCTGGAAGATAAGACTGCAGGTTAACAGTCTATATGTTACAGCCAATTTTTGTGACACATAAGACCTTATAAGAACTGATTGTTTCTTTTTCTTTTTGTTAAAGGAGGCTATTTTATTTTATGAGTATTCCACAAACAAGGCCATACTGCTCCCTGGAAGGGTCTGCATCTTTCTGAGAGGGAGGCAAAAAACATTTAAATAAATAAAGGTTGACCCTTATTTGCAGGCAACTCTGAGATGGACCACTTATTACCATCCACTGTTGATGATATTGAACAAGATGGCCAGAAGGTGGGGGGAAAAAACACCCAGGGTGGTTTTAGTGTGTTACTCTAGGCTAACACAATTTAGTGTGTTACTCTAAATTGGATCACTCATTTTAAAGAACAGTGTTTTTTTAATACTCTAATAAACTGTAACATATTTATTTTGGAATATTGCATATCCAGAGAAAAGAGAACCACAGCAGTGCCTTTTCCCATATCTGTGGAACTTGTATCCTCCTCTCCATTTTAACTCAAAGAAGTTCCTGACTTGGAACTTTCAGGACTCCTTGTCACCATGGTGTAGTGTTCGCCCTCGTGCCCCTTGCCTGCCCCTCCAAACACAGAGCACACAAAGGCAAACCTCTACTCCTTTTCACCTGCTGCCACCAGTTGATCACTAAATCAATATTAATTATGGAAGGATGAAGATACAGGTCCGATCTCCACTGTCTTTTAAATAAAACCTGTTTATTGATTATAGATGTTATTATTAATCATAGGTAACTTCTATTATCTTCAGTCTCAACCTTCTATTTGTCATTACAGTTTATTCACTTTTCACTCTAATCACACCTCAGATCTCACAAAATACCGCACTCTATCTCCTGCTCCACTCTCTCACTCTGACTCTCACTCTCTTTCTCTCACTGACTCTGACTGACTCTGACTCCACCTCTTTATTACATATCTCTCAGCTCCGCCTCTTAGCAACCTTAGCCTGCAACATGAATATGCATAAACACATTTTTCCTCCTAAACAAGCTACATACTTCCCCCTTTAATATGTTTGTTTGGGAGGGGAAACACATTTTTCCTCCTAAACAAGCAGGCACAATTGCATTAAACTTTACTTACCATATAACACAATTCTATAGGCAATATCACATATAATATAACAAGTACTATACCTTATGCACTAAATATTTCACTACTATTCAATAATATACTTTACCTTATCAGTGACACTTTTTTGCATTTGACATTACCAGCCTTACAGAAATATCATAATCAGCAAACTTTTACAAAAATAATTAACCTGTAAATCATAGTCCATTTCAGTTTATTATAACAGTCCTTGCATCATTCGCCTAGCCTCCTGGAAAGCGGATCCGCGACAATGTTGTGGGCTTTAGAGGCACGATCTGAGTTTCTGTTGCAAAGTCCAAAGTTGCAAACTCCAAGTCTTTCACCTTCCCGTTGTAGTCAGTGGACTGGTCTGGTTGTTACTGCCTCCTTCCACTGGACACATATCTGCTGGCACTTGGGAGTCCCTCTGTCAACCACTGGCTCCTTCTTCCACAACCTTTTCCGTTGACTGGCGGTCATCAGCCACTCGGTTGACCACTGGATGTCATCTGCTGGTCGTTTTATAGTGAAGCCTGCTTTAAGTCTGTCTCGGGGCTTCACTTTCTCAACTGGGGAAAGGGTAGGCAGTTCCCTCTCCTCCTCACGAACATCTATAGATGCGTCCCTCTTTAAGGCATCAGGGCTTACATCTTCCTCTTTCTGAATTACATAATCGACATTGTTCAATTTTGACACTATAGGAACCCTCCTAAGCTAATTGTAGCTTGTGACCCTCGGCTGGCCTAAGTAAAAGAACTTCATCTTCAGGCCCAAAAGTTCTTTCCTGGGCTTTCCTGTCATACCAGGTCTTCTGCTTAGTCTGGGCAGCCTTTAGGTTCTTTTCTGCTACATAGGCCTTAATCATGCACACTAATGTGCCACTAAATCTTTCAATTAGTCCATTAGTCTTGGGATGATATGGTGCAGAGTTCATTTGAGTGATCCCACAGGCCTTCCATAATCTATTTATCAGTCTGGAG